TCTCCCCTCCCCTCTCCTCTCTTCTCCTTTCCTTTCCTCTTCTCTTTTCTTCTCTGATCCTTACTCTGGAGGAGTGGGTGAGGCTGAGGAGAAAGGAGTGGTTCCCTTACAGGCTTGCTGCTTCCAGGCATGTAACACGATTCCATAGGCCATAATTGAAAATCTATTAACTCTGGAAACCAGTATTTCACATAAACCTCTCCAACCCCGGCTATCCTGCAGTGAGCGCTCCCTCCTGTTATTCTCATAAATCACCCGAGATAGGCTGGGAACCGATCGATGAGAAAAAATTATGCCACAGCATTAGATTTCATCATACACAACTTGAACTATTACTTTTCTGTCCTGTGGTATGAGGAATCATGAGAATTAATAGTCTTCCTCTTCTCAAACGATGGGTTTATGACGCAGTGTTACCTACATTCTATTTCTTCCTTAAAACCATCAATTAATTTAGGGTACTTACAACGACTCAGTTACTTCCTGAAATTAGCAGCACCACCTTTCCCTCTCCCTAGTAGAGATTTAATGGGATTTTTAAATAATGACATGCTTTTTCAGGTTTGGGCTACCATCTGATGCCTGATTCAGAACAAGTATCTGCCTTGTCAGACGCATCCCCCTGACCTTCTCTTTAGACTTACCTCAGCTCCATCTTCTCAGGGAAGTGTCTGTACTCCAAGCTGCAGATAAATAAACCTGAGGTCAAGGCTATTATTCTACAGTGACTCCCCTCTTCCTTGAACATCCCGATTTCCCTGGCTGGGAATCTGAAATCTGGTTTCCTTGAAAGCAAAATGGTTTAGAAGCGGAATCCTTTGAGAGCATAGCTCTGAGCAAATTCCAGTACCTCAGTGACTAGAGGGCAGATTTCAAGTGAGACGGAGGAAGGCAGAGAAGCTTCCACTTGGAGGTCCAAGACATGGGCATGAAGCAGGAACAATGTGGAGGAGACTCCCAAGAGTCCTGAGCCATTTAGCAAATATTTATCAAGTAATTCTTTTTATACCTATTATGCTTAGTTGTCATTTTAAATGTTTACTGTATTTCTGACTAGATCTTGGGTTTTCTTGGAAGGAAGCAAGAAATTCTTTCCAATACCCATGTGTAGTTCTTCCCTTGTCATTCTCAAAGTACTGTCAGTGGGTGCAAACAGAAGGAAACTGTCCTCTGGGATCACTCATTCATTTGTTGTTATAGATAGGACAGCACTCCAGATCATTTAAGGCATAAAATAAGAAAGTGACAAAAGCATAACTCTAGAACCTACATATTTATGGTTTCATTTGAGAGACAAGATGGTTGAGCAAACATCTAATTATTTAAAGAAAAAATTATAACAAGTTTTATTTTTATGTGTATGAATGTTTTGTCAGCATGCATTTATGTGCACCTCATGCATGCAGTGCCCATGATGGCCAGAAGAGGGCCTCGGAGTCCCCCAGAGCCTCCATTACAGGCAGTTGTAAGTTGCCACTGTAGATGTGGGAACAAAACCCAGTTCCTCTGGAAGAGCAGCAAGACCTCTTAACCACCGAGCCAACTTCCAGACCCAAGGAACCTTTTTTGATGTGTAGGAACGAAGCCTTGATTTGTGAAGAGGCCAGAAGAGGGAGCTTTCCTAGCTGGCTTGGTTTCCAGGTGGATTGTATAAACTAAAACTGGTTTCTACCCCCTCAACTCCCCACCCCCACCCCCGTGCTCTGGGAGCTAGAGTTTGAACCTGCTGGCACATTTGCACAAGTTTGAAGGGCTGAGAAGGTAGAGGAGTGCAGCTTCCTCCTGAGAGTCCTGGCCCTTCAACCTCTTCTGCCAACAAGAAAGGTTGCTGCTTCTTCAACATTTTCTGTGACCCAAGGCTGCAGGCAGCTCTGTCCTCATAACCACTCCCTGCCCACAAGCTGACTGTCAGGGCTGGGCAAGGGCTCTGGGACTCCCCTGGTCCTGGGAGTTTGGGTCATGGACCTGAGAGGTTAGAAAACTCCCCTTTTCTCCTTTTTAGCTGGGCTATATGACATATGTATCAATGATTAGATGGTAGACGTGAAGAAGTCAAATCATCATATTATAAATGAGAGAAAGGATAAACCATAAGGGGGAAAAAAAAACAAGACTGTGAGACATGGGGAGAGTCCTGGAGGAATTGGAAGCTTTGTACTGACAGTAATCCCTAGACTCCAGTGAATTCAGCCTCCTGGGCCCCATGAGGTTTTCTGATATTCTTATAATAAATCCTTCAGGTTGCTTAAATAATAAAGGAATCATTACTGCCAGTTTGTTGGAAATTAAGAGAGGATTTAAAGGGCTGGAGACACGACTCAGCAGTCAACAGCACGCCCTGTTCTTGAAGAAGCTGGGGGCTGTGTCCCCAGTGCCCACATCGGGCAGGTAACCCCTGCCTGTAACTCCAGCTCCTGGGAAAGGCATGCAGACAACTGCACTCATGTACATACACTCCAACCCTCACACACACACACACACACACACACACACACACACACACACACGTTTTTTAAGAGAGGATGGAGATTTAAAAGTGGATGCTCCTGGAATAAGTCAACCCAGAGCTTTCCTTCCCCAGAAGAGAAACGGGTGCAAGCGCTTTGTTTCAGTGGAAAGCTCCCCTTCGAGAGCCCAGTGCTGTCCATTGCATTGAGGAGAACCCAGAAACAGATGTCTGCATCCTTCCTGCCCATGGAACCTCAAGGAAGCTGAGTCCCTGCTGCATGAATGTGAGCCTGTTGGGAACACAAGTTCCAAGAAGAAAGCCACATGCTACATTGGACCTCTGTAAAGCTGGTTGATTGATTAAAACATCAATGTGACAGAGAGGTTGGAACGCTATAAGTCCAGGGCCAAGTTATCTTGGGCCATCTTTAGCCCTCTTAATACCCATGTATTGCCCTCCTCTGTATGGGACTTAACACTCTTGTGACTATTTGGTTAAAAAAAAAAAAAAAAAAATCTTTGTAGCATGCAAACAGATCCCTGGCTTCTATCAACTCAAAGACTAAGAATGCTATCAGACAGCATCTGAGGCCTACAGCAGGGACTTCTCTACTATGCCATAAACCCTCTATCTACTGCACTCACCAATGTTCTTGAAAAGCATGTTGATTCATGACTTTCTTCATTCTGTTACTATAAAAAGTTCACAAACGGCTACAACATTGGAACATTGGAACATTGGAACATGGTGTTTGTTGCAAGAGACAGCTCTCTCCTCAAAAGGGATAAAAGATAGCTAATGTTGGGACCAAATATGAATGAACATGGCCTAGGAATGCAGATTTCATAGAAAACTGATGTAGCACAGGCCCCAAATCACTTTAGGTGAATATCATAAAAACATATTATACATTATGTAAGAAATTACCAAAGAATAAAAATTTTCATAAAAAATTAAAAAATAAAGTATATGTATAATTTTAAAAAGAAAATAGAAAACTGGCCAGTAGGAAGGTGACACAGAACTCCAGCATCAGAAATGCTGTCAGTGTTCCCAGGGTCCTCTGAGAAGCCGTGACATCCCTTGTGTAAGGTAAGGCAGCTTTAGCCATTTCCAGCCTTAGCTCCCTTGTAGCCATTCAAAGACTAGGCTGTCAGGAAAAATCTCCCCCTTTTTTCTTACTCTTCATCTCTCCATGGATCCAACTCATTGAGAGGAGATGCCTGAAAAAGGAAGGATGGATCTGGCTGCATCCCATAGCTCTGCGACCGGGCCCATCTACACCAACTAAGCTAGGCAAGGGTTACCGTGGTGGCTGAGACAATGTAATAAGCTCATCAAACTCTCCTCAGTTTCTCTTTCTTCCTAGCTCCCGGAAGCAAAACATCGTGGCTAGTCACGGGGAGGGAACTGTAACTGAAGCGCTCATCATATCCAGACTTGGGCATTGGAAGTACTCTGTGAGGCTGGCTATGTTTTCTCTTTTGCAGTTGTCCAGGGCAAAATCATGGGTTAGTAATAGAACCCCAGATCAAAGTGCCTGGATGGCTGAGTCACCACATAGAGGACAGCTGCCGAGAAGCATCTCCTGACCTTCAGTGGATCCCGAATGAGTGAAAATTAATCACCAAACTCTCAATGTTCTCTGCACAGCACAAAGCCACAATAACCCCATTAGCATATCACTGTATAAAGATCAATATGTTGATTATTATGCCAAGCCAGACATTTATAAAACTAATTTGAGGACCTACAGTGGTGACTTCAACTGGCTTCTATTCTCTAAGAGTGAACAGAGGAGTCAGAGATTTTACCCAGTGCCAAGGGGAAAAGCAAACCTCCAAATGTGTTTAAAAGGACAGTGGCAAACAAAAACACATCTTCCTTCTGAATTGATCTCATGGGTCCTATTGACTCAACATACTGGTTACCCTTGCAACGAGAATAATAGTCCCTGCTTTGCAGAGTTGGTATAAATTGAAAACATCTTGGCAGATGTTAGGTGCTTAATTAAAGTTGATGCCAGGGGGAGAGATGGCTCAGTGGTTAAGAGTGCTTGTGGCTCTTCCAGAGGGCCAGAGTTTGGTTCCAGTACCAATAGGCAGCGGCTCACAGTCAACACTATCTTCTGGCCTCACCTCAGCACGCACCCACACACACGTATACACAAAAAAATAAAAAATAAAGTCAATCTTTTTTTAAAAAAAAAGAAAAAACAAACAAAATAAAACCCAATACAAACAAACAAACAAAAACCCACCACTCAGTGTGTTTCAGAGGAGTGAGTGGACACTGTGAAAAAGGAGGTGAGACATCTAGAATATGGCAGGGAGCAGATGAAAAGCTTAGCCAGCTTTGTTCTCTGTCCAAGGCAGGACGGGGACACACACACACACACACACACACACACACACACACACACACACACAAACACACATATGCAAAGGTTTAGAAAATCCTCTGAAGACACGGAGGTGACCTCTTTGGCATGTAGGGCGAACTCATTTTGGAGGGAACACACACACACACACACACGCAAAGGTTTAGAAAATCCTCTGAAGACACGGAGGTGACCTCTTTGGCATGTAGGGCGAACTCATTTTGGAGGGAAATCTGAATTGGAAGAATCCATAGCTTCAGGCGCTGCCTCAATCCAGGCACAGAAACTGTCTTTGCCCCCAGGTACAAACCACATCGTACCAATGTCACAAGCAAAGTATGTTTTCTTGTAGTTCACGCAGCATGACCCTCAAATTTCCCCAGGTCTGGCCATAAAGTGGGCTTAGGCTCCAAGCTGTGCTTTCAAATATAACACAAATATTTACCCTGCCCATAAAAGGCTGTGACAAGCTGCCCTCCCCCATGTAGCCGGGCCCCTGTGGTCTTGTAAGGCACAGGAGACGGCACTGGGCTCTGGGCTCCACTCAGAAGAACCATGTTCAAAATGGACCCAGCTGCGGGAGAGTGTTAGCTACAACTGCAAAGGACAGATTCTATTTTTGGCCTGTGGTGTGTATTTTTCTTACTGACTTTTTGTTTTCCTCAAAGCCAAATCAATATCAGGCCAACAGGAGATTTCCAGGGATATAAACCACCAGGCTGCCAGAGAACAGGAGGGCCTCTGTGGTAGACTCCGCAGAGCATAGCTCTCTGAGAGGCCCGGATCCTGGCTGGCACTCATGCTCACCATGCTGGTGATAAAGATGGAAGTGTTACACCATTCACCCCAAGGATCCCAGCCTCCGTGTGTGTGTGTGTGTGTGTGTGTGTGTGTGTGTGTGTGTGTGTGTGTGTGTGTGTGCCAGGTGTGCTCAGGAAAACATCTCACTAGCAAGGTGGGGGTGGGGCTGGCTCAGTGAGTGGATAGAATGAACAGGCTTCCTGGAGAGAACCCTTAGGGCCTGCACCTCCTACCCAGGGCTGTCAGAACTTGGCTTCCTTTCCTCCAACGGGAGGTTTGTGTGAGGAATGAGTTTCTACTGGCCTCTCTGAACACTCTCACAGAGGGACAGATGTCCTCCCAAGCGCAATAACAGAGGAGGATTTTTTTCTTCTTTTTCTTTCTTTCTTTTTTTTTTTTTTAAAGATTTATTTATTTATTATGTATACAGAAGAGGGTGCCAGATCTTATTACAGATGGTTGTGAGCCACCATGTGGTTGCTGGGAATTGAACTCAGGACCTCTGGAAGAGCAGTCAGTGCTCTTAACCTCTGAGCCATCTCTCCAGCCCCAGAGGAGGATTTTCATCACATGAAAATGCCTTGTGCAGGTGTGGTAGGCTCTGCACTGGACTGCAGAATCCACACAGCTTATTAAGCCATTCTCCAAAACCCCACCGTTAGGGATCCCCATTCCCTGAGCCTCTTACGTGTCTAAAAGTCCCGAGACAGAAACTTCCCTCACGGTGTATGATTTGCCAGACTGTTTCTTCACTTGTTTACTCATCCAACAACTCTCTTGGGAGTACCTCCTAAGGATAGTGGCTGGAATTTGTGGAAAAAGAGGCCGCAAGAGATGATGGGGGCCCAGATGCCTGTGGAGTCAGGAGGGAACACCATATGAGGGAGTTATCGGAAGGACCCAGTGCCAAGGACACCTGGGTCCAGTTCACTGCCTGACCTGGGTAACCTTCTAGCTTTCCTGAGGAGGTATTCCAAGCCTTTGGCAGAGGCTTGGGGCTGCAATGGGGACTCCTGGCTCTTCAGTTAATCCCCGAGAGAGATCCCATGGGAATCTGGGGCTCAGACACTGAAGTCTCCAGAGATTGGACTTTGGGGAAGGTGACTTAGAACCGGGGTTGGGGACGACAGAGAATGCTGGAGAGCAGTCCAACTGTGTATTTTCATTCTTGTACCCCAACCTGCCAACCACTATGTTCCTCCCTCTTCTTCCGCGACTCCGTCAGAGGGCCCTGATGGTGGACTTAGAAAGCGAGGGGCGGTCTCTCATCCCTTAGTTCCAAGTCATTCTACCATCAAAGGATGGGCACTTTCCAGCTCCTATGCAGAACATTTTCCTGCTCCGACTCCTCCGAGCCCCCTTTCTCAGGGGGAACAAAATCAGGAGTCTCTCCCAGCCATTGTCCTCCTCCCCCAGGGCAGATTTGAACGGAGTCAATCTGTTATTAATGTTGTTCTAAAAGCAGTAAATTTGTGGCCAGGGGAAATCAATTGGTCAGAATGTGACAAAAGGGGAAATACGCTATAGCATATGGAAATATGAATTATGGATGCCTGCGGCTCCCAGACTCCAGCCCTTGGCTGGTAACAGCGGAGTGCGTACCTCTCCCCAGACCCCTACTTCACCCAGTTTGGAGCTTGTTGAGAGTTTGTCCTGCAAACAGGTGTGAGTCCATGACCAGGCATCTGGACAAGGTGAGGAAGGGGTTAAGTACAGAGTTGATCAACTCCTGGAGTCCCCACTCTTGGCCTGATGGAGCCATTTGGGATTGAGACCACTCTTGAAGACTACCTGAACTTACGATGCCTGCTTCCACCGATCGGATGGGCCAGGCAGGGCCTCCTTCAGGACCTGGGACTGGGAAGTCTGCTCTTCAGTACTCTTGGATGGGCCAGGGCCTCTTTCAGGACCTGGGACTGGGAAGTCTGCTCTTCAGTAATCTCGTTAGTTGTTTGGACAAGTTCTTGATATGTAGCCAGGGATAGCCTGTAACTTACCATCCTCCTGGCTCAGTTTCCTGAGTGCTAGAGTTGTAGATGTACACCACCACATGTAGCTTTTCCCCCTTCCATTCTTTTTTGAGGGGATTTAAATTTCTTACCATCACTTGATGTTTACATGGAAAAGGAAGGAACAATCTTCACCTGTGGCAAAAAAAAAAAAAAAAAAAAAAAGATAAAAACAAAGAAGACAACAAAATGCAGCAGGACCCTTTCCTTATAATCTTTAACCCATTAACCCAAGCCTTAATATTTAATATTCAGAACTAGCATGTGTTCTAATAATTCCTGAAAGTTCTGCTGTAAGTTCTGCTGTCATCTGACAAGTGTTTCTCTGAAAGAATCCGAGAACAGCCAAGTCTCTAGGGGCGGTCTCCAGCCCCTGGTGCTTCTATTTTTCACCAGCCACGGCTCTGTTGCTCATAGCTCTGTAAATAATCTCATTGCCCCACAAACGCTGACTCCCTCTAAGAGGATCTGGTAAATCCTGATTATGAATCCGTGCCCTGTACTTCTAACCTGCCTGCTCACCCCTCCCACCTCTCTCGGTGGGTGGAAACCCACAGAACTCGGGCTGACTAACTGAGCCAATGAGTGAGCACACTCCCTGCCCACAGGACAGAATTTCACTTAGAAATTCTCTCAGGCCTTGGTCTTTGCATCAGACCCATGCCAGGACCCTTGAAAGGAGGAGGAGGGACAGCTGTAATGCAGATGAAGTGCTACCTGCTGTCATTGCCTCTCCTTGGTGCTGACATCACATCGCCTTCCCTGCCCCTCATCTCTGTCAGGTCCCAAGCTGCTGACTGACACTCGCTAGGTTCCAAGAGTTGCTTTTGATTTCCGAGCACCTGCTAAAATGAGTCTCTCGTTGTTCAGGATTCGGGTTCAGTGCTTGCTTCTCTGGGATATCAGAGGCTTCATCTTCACGAAGACAGATCATAGGGAAGCAAGGTCAGGTGGAGAACAGGAGAGGCATACAGGCTCATTCTGATGCCCTGCAGAGAAATGGCTAAGGAGGAGCTGGGAGGTTCGGTTGCATGTTCAGGAGGCGAGAGAGGAAGTTCAGTTTTGGAGTAACTTCTACACTCACAATGAAGTAGCCCCACCACCCCCAGGGGAGTCAGAGACCCAGACAGGTAACCGCTTCTCTGGCAAAGCAGCGATGTGGGGCTTTGGCTGGTTCTTGGATTATGACCAGTTCAGTCATTGATGCATGAGAAGAAACCTGCCAACAGGTATGCCACCAGCCGGGTCCTTAGTGCCTTAGGATACTTGACATACAAGCAAAAGAAAGTGGGGCCAGAGAAGCCGAGTCTTATGCTGGGCACAGGCTCAGGGCAGAGAGGGTTTGCAGACTTTTCTATCTCTACCCTATTCCACCTCTGCCACATTTCTCTGCTTCTCTAGGCATCTTAGAATGACTGGCCTCTTGGGTTGTCAGCTTGAGTTTCCATTCCAGGGAACAAGGTGCAAAGACATCTGTAAGCATCAATTCCTCTGGACTGAGGACCAAGTACTCTAACTCAGAGCTAACTCTGGAGTTTTTTTGTTTGTTTGTTTTGTTTTGTTTTTTCCAGATCCAGTTTGCCTCAGTTTCCCCAGGAGGCTGAAGAAGGTACAGAGAGAGTAATGCTACACTAAAGGTGATGCTTAGATTCTGGGAAGGAGCACTGTTGCCTACACAGAGCCATTGTTCTACCAGCCATGGCCTAAGGCACTTAGGACCCAGCTGGTTTCATACCTGTCGGCACAGTTCTTCTCACGCATCAATGACTGAACTGGTCATAATCCAAGAACCAGCCAAAGCCCCACATCGCTGCCCAGGCTGATGCTACTTTGCCCAAGAAGCAGTTTCCTGTCTGGGTCTCTGATTTCCCTGGGGGACAGTGGGGCTACTGGAAACAACCCTGCAATTTGCCTGTACACCAACAGCTTTCCTGCCTCTAGACCTCACACCTCACACTGCGGCAACAACATGGCAAGTGGCACAGGCCCTTCAAACACTCCATTGTAGATCCCACTTGCCTGGGCTAAGATACTCGCTGCTGGCTTGGCCACTTGTGGGAGCTGCCCTAGCTGGTGGGTATCTGGCTCAATCACACGGGAATCTTTCTGCCTGGTGAGTCTGCCTTCGTGACAGATTCTGGCTGGCCCATCAGGCTACTGCAAAAGTTCCTTCTCCATGGAGGCAGAGAGGAAAAGAGGACCCCCTAGGAGGGCAGCTAGAGGAGAGATGGGGTTAGGACGTTCAAGAAAAGCAGGGCATAGTGCATGTAGACACCATTGGTCTTGGACTCCATTGTATACTACCCAATGACACAATGTGACTTTGGGCAAGGCTCTTAGAAACTCTGAAATTGGTTTTTCTCACTGTAAAACAGGAATTTAAAAAAAAAAAAAAAACCTTCCTCATACACTGTGAAGATTAAAGATAATGTGTCCAGTGTATAATGGATTTTCAATAAATGTTAATTTACCTTTCCGTCCCTCCCAACCTGATGTGGTGATTCTAAGTGAGGCAACGAGGTTCAATCAATATTTGTCTGTCCAATCCGAAGCCTTTTACAAACACAATTCTTTAAACAACCATTAGAAGTCGACTTGGCCAGCCGTCTTTGAGTGCTTGATTGCTGGTGTCTCTTTCTTATAGACGTCTTTGAGCCCCTGCTTAATGCCCCAGGGATCATGATCTCATGAGCTCCCAAGATAGCCTGTTATTTTTAGAGAGTGCTGCCCATTTGAATCATCTTCTGACCGAGCTGCAGCTCACTTGCCTGTAACTGTCCACAGCGTCGAGTGCACCTCCAAGACCACCTGGACCAACTATTAGTTTATTGTAGTTGTCAGTGGACAAAAGTGTATATATTTATGTCAGCTGGCTTCGGGATGAAAAGGATTTTTCTGTTTGTTTGTTTGTTTGTTGGCTCATGGGTATGGAGGTTTCAGCTCATGGTCACCTGCTTCTGTTACTTTGAAGCCTGTGCTGAGACAGAGCAGCCCATTTCATGGTGGTCAGGATGCAGAATTCTAAAGGATCAGGGGATGAGATATGCCCTTCAAAGGCAAGCCCTCGGTGACCCACCTCTTTCAACCAACCCAATCGGCTCTGAGCTCACTAATGGATTGATCTATGGATGATCCAATCACCTCTCACTAGCTCCACCAGCTGGGAATCAAACTTTTAGCATACGAGCCTTTACATCTTATGGTTGTAAGAGCATTTATGTCACAAGATGATACTTTCCTATATGTGTATGCTGCGGGGTGGCTAAGTCAAAGGATTAGCATTATTTCATAGTTATCACTCTTGTAGTGTTTGTTAAACTATTTTTTATTAGTATATTAAAATGTCTAAAGCAAGTTTATATATATGTGTGTGTGTGTATATAATATATATATATATATATATATGGTTTATTAAGCTTATAATTTTGAAAAGTAAAAGTCCAATATCAGGGGACACTATTGGTTTAGGCTCTGGTGAGGGTCTAATGACAGATGACATTGTAGAAGATGTGTATTCCAGAAGGAATGCTCATATAACCAGAAAGGAAGCCATGGAGACAGTGGGTCAAGCTCTCTCTTACAACCCTTTCTAGAGAGAATTCAGGGCCCATTAGAACTACATTAATCTATTCAGAGAGCAGCACCCCTGTCAGTTACCTAAGAATCTCCCACTAGGTCCCACCTTTTAAAGACACATACCCCTTCCCAATATTACCACACAGAAGATTGAAATCCTAGCACAAGTATCAAACAATATTCAAACCATAGCAGTATGAGAGCACATAGCATATTCTATTAGCTATTAAGAAATCTTAATATTATTTATTTTAAGTTGCAATACATCCTTCCTAACAATAGTAAGTTGTGTTGCACAATAAATCTCTTGAACTTACTCTTCTTATCTCACTAAAATATTGTACCTTTTGACCTGCATCTCTCAGGTCCTGCTTCCTATGTGGTGGGCTAGTACCCTGAAGAGGGTCCCTGCCCACGTGGCCAGCTGGCAGCACTCACAGGAACTTCATAGAAGCAATGTTTATTTTGAAATCCAACTAGCCCTGTGTTCTGTGTGCATCAGCCAGGTTCATAGCTGCAGGGTCCACTTTGCAGTAGGCAATGGCTTGCTCTGGATCCCCTAGAAAGTGACATGTAAGGTGGGAGACAAGAAGACTGGGCCTAAGTGCTATTGTGTCTGAGCTCCAGGATAAAGAATTCTCTCTAAGACTGAAAGGCAGAATGATGAAGAGACGTGAGAGGCAGGCCTCTCTGGAATAGGTTGTGTTGATGAAGAACAGGGCCACCTGTCCTATAAAGAGCAGGAAGAAGATACTAGTGTGTCTGAGCTAAGATATAGCATCTGTACATGAAGGCCTTGTTTCTTTGGCCCTGAAATAGAATGCAGGGTGGCATGCTTGAGAGAGTTGTGGACAGCTGGTGCTAGGGGGCCTGTATTGTGGCCTGGCCGCACCTGTCATCTCTGTAGAGCACCTGTGACCACCAGGAGACTGGTGCAGATCAGAGAGGGGCCCAGCTGTCATGTGGGTTCTATGGGCCCCCGGCAGCCCAGCCGTTCTGGAGAATATCTCTGTGCCTCATCCACTGCTTACTGCCCCCCCCCCCACACACACACACACCGTGGCTGGCAGTCAGCTCCATGGAAACAGTCTTTCGAATGTGACTTTACCCCAGAGGCAGTGTTGGCTGCAAAGGCTGTTCCAGCCTCCTAATGCAGAGGCAGATACATATACAGGCCAGATATGTCAGCTCTGCTCTACTGGGGGGTTCCTCACTCTATCCCCCTTCTATTTCAGAGACTCTGTGTCTCCAGGAGTATCTTCCTGCATCTGAGGAGGAGGTTACTTTCCTGTCCCAGGCCTTGGTTCAGCAGTGCCCCCCCCCCAAAAAAAAAACAAAAAAAACTCTTCTTACTGGTCTCTGTCTGGGAAAAAGGCACAGTACGAAATGAGGAATCAAAACGCCTCTTGCCACAAATATATTTCCTTAGACATGCTAGACGCAGGTGCTGGAATGCTCCCAATCCCAGTCATTTTGTTGTTAAGAACGATTTTTCTTCAGAAAGACCCTGTCAGAATGCAAATGCTACCAGGAGGGGTAGCACATTAACTTATTACCATCCATTATCACCGGAGTGCAGTTTATCAGCTTCCTAGCTGAGAACAGGGCCCTGGGGAGAGAGATGCTGAACAGGTAGGGGCTGATACAGTGGGGAACAAGGGACAGGGGAAAAGCTGCTCGAGCATCCTGGGAGAGAGACCAAAGGAAAGAAAGGAAGGACAAGGGAGCTCAAGCTGGCCATCAGGCTATGCTAGACTGCGTCCCCAGGCCTTGCTAGTCACTGCACTCATTTTCAGAGAGGGCCATCCTTGGCTAAAGACAGTCCAGCCCCCTTCTCCAAGATAGATGGAAGAGAGTTCTTTTCCCGTGGGTGGTTTGCAAATCATTCCACTCAGTTTTGTTCTATGTCATTACCTTTCCAACCATTTGTTACTTAGGCTAATATTAATATTAATTTATATTCCCCGAAGACATACTGTCTGGCAGGGAGGAAGGCCAGGCACACGCTAAGTGGCAGGGGAAAGTCAAACTGAGATGAAAACCAGGCCACATGTAATCCGCAAAGAGTGGAACTCACACATAGATAATATACTGATGGCAGCCCCAGGCAAGGTTCTGTCTGCGGGTCTCCTATGGGGAACCACAACATACACTCTCCTCTCTTGCTTCTAATGGCCATGCCAAATAGGAATTTTGTGCTTATTTTGCAAAGAAGAGGAACGAGTCTTTCTACAACCACAATTTCCAAGAAAAGCACACCCCAAACACGTAAGGCCCATGTTGCTCTGCTGCAGTCAGTCAGTACAGGGTGTAGATGTAGAAAGGGGCACCAAGGGCTGGTTTGAGGGCAGGGAACCTGTGAGAGAAGAGTTCAGCATCCTTGATAATGATCTAGAAGGTAAGGGGAGTGGTTGAGAATGAGGAGGTAGAGTCAAGCGGTCTAACAAGGGAGGAAGCCACTGAGTGACGCAAAACCTAGCTGCCATGTGCCATTTCTGGAGGAGGCCAGTGGAAGACTTTAGTGGGGAGCTAATACACATTTTAGATGACTTTGTTTAGTGTGTGTGTGCACGTGCGCTCGTGCATGCGTGTGTGTGTGTGTGTGTGTGTGTGTGT